CCCCCCCCCCCGAAGGAGAGCTGGTCACCTAACAGAGCAGAAAATTCTGTGCTGGGAACAGGGCATGGCAACCTGTCTCTCTGCTCTCAATCTTAGGAAAAGGCCTTTTACTTTCCTCATCCTTACAGGGGGGAGAACAGACTCTGAATTCCCAAAAGACTAGAGCGGGGGGGGGGGAGACAGAGAAGGCCAAGCACAGCTCTCTCTACAGGATCTGCCCTCTCCCATCTTCCTTAAGAACATAAGAACATGAGAGACGCCAATGTTGGATCAGGCCAAAGGCCCATCCCGTCCAACACTCTGCCTGTCACACAGTGGCCAGAAATACCAGGTGCCCCCAGGAGGCCCACCAGTGGGGCCAGGACATTAGAAGCCCTTACACTGTTGTCCCCCCAAGCACCAAGAAGACAGAGCATCACTTCCCCCAGAGCCCCTATCTATACCTTGTGGCTAATAGCCACTGATGGACCTCCGCTCCATATGCTTATCCAATTCCCTTTTGAAGCCGTCCATGCTTGTAGCCGCCACCACCTCCTGTGGCAGTGAATTCCTTGTGTTAATCACTCTTTGGGTGAAGAAGGACTTCCTTTTATCCGTTCTAACCCGACCGCTCAGCAATTTCATGGAGTGCCCATGAGTTCTTGTCTTGTGAGAAAAGGAGAAAAGTACCTCTTTCTCTACCTGCTCTATCCAATGCATGATCTCGTAAACCTCGATCATGTCACCCCTCAACCGTCGTTTCTCCAAGCTAAAGAGTAGTGAAGGGAGAAAAGTACCTCTTTCTCTACCTGCTCTATCCAATGCATGATCTCGTAAACCTCGATCATGTCACCCCTCAGTCGTCGTTTCTCCAAGCTAAAGAGTAGGGAAGGGAGAAAAGTACCTTTTTCTCTACCTGCTCTATCCCATGCATAATCTCGTAAACCTCAATCATGTCACCCCTCAGCCGTTGTTTCTCCAAGCTAACGAATAGTGAAGGGAGAAAAGTACGTCTTTCTCTACCTGCTCTATCCCATGCATGATCTCGTAAACCTCGATCATGTCACCCCTCAGTCGTTGTTTCTCCAAGCTAAAGAGCCCTAAGCGCTTTAACCTTTCCTCATAGGGAAAGTGTTCCAACCCTTTGATCATTCGAGTTGCCCTTTCCTGCACTTTTTCCTTCCTACCAGGAGCACGATCATAGTTAGAAGCAGGGCTATTTTGGGGCAGGAACGCACAGGAACAGAGTTCCGGCTGGCTCCCGAGGTGGCCACGCCCAGCAGAAACTCATTAGCATAAAAGGCCACACCCAACAGCAGAAACTCATTAGGACTGACTACTTTAGGGGTGTGGCCTAACATGCAAAGGAGTCCCTGGTACAAAAAAAGGCCCTGGGTCTTGACAACAAACAAGGTAAACAGAATAAGAAGCAAAAGGTGGGTGTGGCTGGATGACCACACTTCTGGGAACACGTGGGTGTGACCTCATATGCTAATGAGCTGTGCTGTCGGGGTGGAGCCTAATATGCTCATGAGTTTCTGCTGTTGGCTGTGGCCTATTATGCTAATGGGTTCCTGCTGGGCTTTTTCTACAAAAAAAAGCCCTGGTTAGAAGTGAGCCGACACGTACTTTAAACTTTCCTATCGGGTAGGGAATTCAGCTCTCCCAGGCCGAACTCATGTTTCCAAGGCCGGAATCCATGCACAGAACCCAGCAGAATCACGGCTCTGCAAAAACAGCTGAGCCACGGAGGCAGCTGTGTGGGGCGGCATGGAGTTGCCTTCCTCGTAGAGGACTCCAGTCGGATCAGTCCAAGGGTCTACCTAAACCAGCATCCTGTGCTGCCACCCCTTCCCCCCTCTTAGGTCTCTCCCAACAACTGATGACGATATACTGCCCCTGCACATGGAGGCCCCATTTAGCCCTTTACGACTCCCCCCCAGGGATCCTTCAGGACCAGAACTTCCCATCTCAGGGCAGAGGGTCCGGACAGGCGATTTCTCAGAGCCCTTCCAATCCCGACTCCGTGTGAAGAAGCTTACATGGCTGTCTTGGCGAGGATGGACGACAGCAGAGCTTGCTCATCTGTTCGGGCCGAAGGCAGGCTGTAGCAGTTGGACTCCGTGCCATTTAAGGACTTGTTGGGCGGGCTGCTGGTGGGCTGCAGGAGGGGCTTCGACTCCTCCCCCTGGAGAGGAGAAACAAGGGGACCATCAGTTGGGGGCCGCGCGGCACGACACTCGCGAGGGAACGTGTCCCCCCGCATCCCCGAGGGGCACAGCAGAGCACGCCCGAAATCCCTGCCTCGTACCACCGATGGACAGAACGGCGGCGGCACACGTGGACACAGGAAGCTGCCTTGTGCTGGCCCAGCAAGGTCAGTATTGTCTACTCAGACTGGCAGCAGCTCTCCAGAGCATCAGGCAGAGGGTCTTTCCCATCACCTCCTGCCTGGTCGCTTTTAACTGGAGATGCCGGGGATTGAACCTGGGACTAGAGATGTAAAATTTCCGGAAATTTTGAAGCTCAGAAAAAAACCTGGGTTTTTCCCGTTTTTTTCCTGAAAAGAACGGAAATTTTCTGAAAAATTGAAAAAAATGCTACATTAGCACTTCTTTTTTCTTTTCCAGATTGAAAGTCATTCTGTTAACTTTAGGAACATAAAATATGACTGTGGACGTTTTTACTTGGCATGAAATTATCACAACTAGCCTATTAAAAATATAGTGTATCCAAACAATTATTACAAACAGAACACCCGCCCACATGCAAAAACAAAACTGAAACCTTTTTATTTTCTTCTGACAATCGCACCTCCTAAAGGAAGAAATGCATCTTGTTCTTGCATTGGAGAGTTCAGTTTGTAACCTAGGACTTGCTTGTCCTCAGTGCACAGAAATTAGATCAATCTGATACCATATATATATATTTTAGAAATGATTTGGAAAATATTTGAACACCTTGTCTTAAAATATTTTATT